CATTCCCCGCATGGGCAGTTAATTGGCAGTCAATTTTCTCCGATCATACTCTGTTGGCGACCACTCATTCCCAAAATCATCTACCCCAGGCGATGAATAATAACTGGCCCCAAAAGCGCGAGTGGTTTCAGTTTTGCATCTGATTGATTGAGAGTGGCGCGAGTTTCTGAACCAATCACAGAGCAAAGGAAAGCAAAACAAATGCAATCTCGGATCACCTTCGATACTTATTTGATAATTGCGCTAATAGCTAGGTTTTACTGATTAAAATAATTAAAACACAATGACTAAGTCCCTGACATAATCAGTAATTGGATCTCATTTCCCTTACTAGGCTTAAAATGTTTTTTTCTCTATAATGGACACTGCTTTGAGCTCTCCCCAACAAGTTCTCGAAAAATCTGAACTTGTTAGAAACAAAATGTAATCGTACTAAAATAATTGATGAAATAGCATCTTGATAACTAAGAGGTATATACATGAACTTACGTTGCACTCTGTAAAAAGTATAAAAGTTCTTAAATTTTTGATCGATTTTGAGGGACAAACAGGAATGTCCGGGAAACTATAATTAAAAAATTTTGAATTAGAAACGAGAAAGGAGAACGGACTGCACGGTTTTATGTTCCAGAGTTTTTGAAATTGTAGGAAGCACTGTTTCTTAGTTCTTTAGTGCGCTTTTACGACAAATGCAAATTTATTTTATTTTATTTACAATTGACGCAACGGTGCAATACCAAGTTCTCTTTAACCGAGTAACAATTTAATATACAGTTATTATAAAGGGGCATTACTAGTCAGATCTTAGAGGCTAAACTTGGGAGTTCTTTTCGATAGTATGTCGAAAAACTAAAAGCGTGGTAACGCGACAGCTAATCAGAGCAAAGGAAATATTATTCAGAGCCATAGAGAGTTCAAGCTGAAAAAAAGCAAACTGCTCGAGGAAAACGTTGGTGATTAAAACGTAGTTGGTTCGAGGTTCACATCTGATTGGTTGAGAGGACGGCGCGTGTTTCGTGGATCAGTTACAGAGCGAAGAAAAGCATACTCAACGCAATTCTGAATTACTTTCGACACTTATTTTAAAAGTGTTCGAAAATTTTTAGTAGCACAATAAATTCCATCATCTGACACCTGTGTTTTCTCGGTACAGTCAAATGACAAGCTTGGACACGATGCAAGATAATCAAGGAAGGAATAAAAAATACTCAACTTTGCTGAGAAGAGAAAGTGGATTTCAAGGACAACTTTTCTTCAAACAGTAAGTTGCTTATTTTACGAATAGATGGTTATTTCTTGGTACAGCTTCCTCAGTGCATTTTAAAGTCGGATTAGCTGAGCAAAACTGTAAGGGAATTTTTTTTACCTTATTTGCTCATTTGCACAAGTTCAGTTTCCTATCAAGCTAGAAAAATGTTGGTACTGAAAGATCTAAATATAGGGCATATTTACCCTTAAGAAATTTTCAGCCGGATACGTCTAAAATTCTCTCAGCCACATCAAAATTATCAAAAAAAAAATTTACAAGGAATGTATAGACTCATTAGTGAATAATTCAGTCAAGTCCACTCGCAAGAAGCTCAAATCTTACAAAAATTTAAAACTCTGAGACCCTCTGTCAATCTTAAAGTAATTCTCCATTAAATCGACTTAAACGTGAACAATTAGGGCAGCAAAGATTCTCCAATTACAGTTTGTAGTCTGCTAGTATACTGAATGACCAGAATGAATTTCTTGTAATATGGTTGGAGCTGCAATTGGAAAACGATATGCCCTGCAATGAGTAAGTCAGTAGAGTTTACAAAAAGACAGCAGCAACGACAGGAGAACAGAAGAAATTCAAAATTCCAGGTTTTAACAAATGAAAAAGCTTAAGTCTAACAAGTCCTTGTAGTAATTAGAAATTATATCTCTTTCCCTCCACGAAGTCTTAAATGTTCCAATTGTTCTAAAGGACACTCCATCGAACTTTGCCTATAAAATGCTCAAAAAGTCTCCGCTTGTAAGAAATAAAAAGATGACATTGTTCCAAAGAAATCATGCTGAAATGTTTGATGAAATATTATTATGGTAATTAAAAGGAATGTTTATGTACACGCATCGCTCCCCGTAAAATAAATATTATTTAGTATGAAATTGGTTTCCAGAGAAAAATTTAGAAGACACTAATTCACAATTTTATAAACGAGAAATGAGGAAATATCAAACTGTTTCATTTTCCAGCGTATTTAAGATTTTATGAACCACACATTTTATCATCAGTTCTGGTACAATTTTGTTCTCAAATCTATTATTCAGTTTGTAATCACATCTATATATTTGATTCATACCGTCGATGCTTAGAGAAAAGAGCAATTCTATTTCACCTGTTTATTATTTCAGCTCGTTGACAAGCAAGGAAGAAAGACATAGCTGAAGCAAGCGACAAGAATACAAAGTTAACTTCATTCTTCTTCAGGGAAGATAACTCGAAAATAATTGTAGTGAAAATTTTTACCATTAGTTTTCAAAACTTATCCGCAAACAGTTTCGTTACTGAAGGTAATTCAACAGTGGTCGAAGAAAACAAATTGACGATGTACATATGAGCTGTCTTCCTAGGACTTTTAATTTTTGGAATATAACTGTATGATATAAACGTAGACATTTTGTAAAGTTACCCTTTTTTGAAACGAGAAACTGTTAAACTGAGAATCGCGGCAAGTTTTTCCTCAGTCTTCTCTGAAGCATTTGTTAAGTTTCCCGCCAAAACAACTGCGGGCGCTTGAAAAACTTGAACGCGCTGTAAGTATCATCTGTTCAAATTGCCACAATTTTCCCGCCAAAAAACTTAGAAAAAAATACGGGCGCCTAAAATACGCATGTGCTGGTTTTTATTATTTTTTTTTAAGTAATTTAATATTTCTACATTGTTGTTAAGTAAAAGTCAAGAAGCTCATCTGGTGTTCACTTATTTACCTTCTTAAACTATTGTCGTCAATAAATGATATTACAG